GGTCTGGAAATGTTAATGTGAGTTTACTGGTCTGGGAATTTTAATGTTGAGTTTATTTGGTCGGAAAAATGTTAATGTTAATTTTACTGGTCTGGGAATGTTTAATGTTGAGTTTAAATTGGTCTGGAAATGTTAATGTTGAGTTTACTGGTTTTGGAAATGTTAAGTTAGTTTACTGGTCTGGAAAGTTAAATGTTGAGTTTACTGGTCTGGAAATGTTAATGTTGAGTTTACTGGTCTGGAAATGTTAATGTTGAGTTTACTGGTCTGGAAATGTTAATGTTGAGTTTACTGGTCTGGAAACGTTAAGGGTTGAGTTTACCTGGTCTGGAAATGTTAATGTTGATTAACTGGTCTGGAAATGTTAATGTGAATTTACGGGTCTGGAAATGTTAATGTTGAGTTTACTGGTCTGGAAATGTTAATGTTGAGTTTACTGGTCTCGGAATGTTAATGTTGAGTTTACTGGTCTGGGAATGTTAATGTTGAGTTTACTGGTCTGGAAATGTTAATGTTGATTTAACTGGTCTGGAAATGTTAATGTTGAGTTTACTGGTCTGGAAATGTTAATGTTGAGTTTACTGGTCTGGAAATGTTAATGTTGAGTTTACTGGTCTGGAAATGTTAATGTTGAGTTTACTGGTCTGGAAATGTTAATGTTGATTTTAACTGGTCTGGAAATGTTAATGTTGATTTTTACGGGTTCGGAATGTTAATAGTTGAGTTACTGATCTGGAAATTTTAAATGTTGAGTTTACTGGTCTGAAAATTTTAATGTTGAGTTTACTGGTCTGGAAATGTTAATGTTGAGTTTACTGGTCTGGAAATTTAAATGTTGAGTTTACTGGTCGGAAATGTTAATTGTGAGTTTACTGGTCTGGAAATGTTAATGTTGAGTTACGGGTCTGAAATGTTAATTTGAGTTTACGGGCTGGAAATGTTAATTTTTGAGTTTACTGGTCGGGAAATGTTTATTGTTGAGTTTACTGGTCTGGAAATGTTAATTTTTGGTTTACTGGTCTGGAAATGTTAATGTTGAGTTTACGGGTGTGGAAAAGTTAATTTTTGAGTTTACTGGTCTGGAAATGTTAATGTTGAGTTACAGATCGGAAATGTTAATGTTGATTTACTGGTCTGGGATGTTAATGTTGAGTTTACTGATCTGGAAATGTTAATGTTGAGTTTTAAACGGGGTCCGGAAATTTTAATGTTGAGTTTATTTTTACTGTCTGTAAATGTTAATTTTTGATTTTTACTGGTTCTGGAAATGTTAATGTTGAGTTTACTGGTCTGGGAATGTTATATTGAGTTTACGGTCGGGGGAATGTTAATGTTGATTTAACTGATCGGGAAAATTTTAATGTTGAGTTTAAACTGCTGGAAATGTTAATGTTGAGTTTACTGGTCTGGAAAAATGATAATGGTTAAAATTTAAATTTTTTACTGGTCTGGAAATGTTAATGTTGACTTTACTTGTCTGGAAATGTTAATGTTGAGTTTACTGGTCTGGGAATGTTATTGTTGAGTTTACTGGTCTGGAAATGTTAATGTTGAGTTTACTGGTCTGGAAATGTTAATGTTGAGTTTACTGGTCTGGAAATGTTAATGTTGAGTTTGAACATCAAAATGGTATACAATACCGACAGGTTGGTAGTAAGACACATAGGCAACAGTTAGGCAACTTTATTCCGAAACGTTTCGCCTACACATTAGACAGTATTTAAGTCTCCGCACTGTCGCTTGATCTTCAGATAGTTCCTGACTATGGAACTGAACTCCTCCAGGCCGAGGGACTGACAACCTCAAATTCTACGACTTCAAGGGTGATGGACTGATTACGTCGTCTTCACATCTCTACTGTTCCTGCCTACTTTCTGTATTCGACTGAAGAAGCCTACTATGTAGGCGAAACGTTTCGGAATAAAGTTGCCTAACTGTTTTGCCCCAAAAATTTTGGTTTACTCCCTAAATGTTATTTGAGTTTACTGTTTTTCTGGAAATGTTAATGTTGAAGTTTTTAATAGGTCTGGAAATGTTAATTTTGAGTTATAATACTTGGTCTGGAAATGTTAATGTTGAGTTTACTGGTCTGGAAATGTTAATGTTGAAGACTCAACACTAATTATGAGGATTTTGAGAGTAGTAGTTGTAGTTTTTTGTTATTGTTGTTGTTGTTGTTATTGTTGGTTATTTCTTGTTCTTTTTTTTGTTTTTAATAACTCTGTTTTGTTTGTCTTTCCTTTTTTTCTCTCGTTTTTTTTTTAATTAATTTTCTTTATATTTTTGTTTTCCCTTTTTGTTTTATCCTGATCTTTTTTTTTTTAAATTGCTCTTGTCGTTTTTGTTTTTCTTTCCGTGTTTTGTTTCTTGTTTCTGTTGTTGTTATTATTGTTGTTGTTGAAGCTGATGTTTTTTCTTCCTTTGTTCTTCATTAACAGGCGACGGATCGCGATTTTTTATTTTAAGCATCATACTTTTTTTCTCTCTCTCTCTCTCCCCCCCCCACCCGCTCTCTTCTCTTCCCCCCAACAAAAATAAATAGAAAATACAAGTGATTAAATATCAGGGACTAAAAAAAGACGTAAAAATAGCATCACCCATTTATTTCAATACTTTATGCATTATATATATAAATATAATATATATATATATATATATATATATAAAATATATTATATATAAAATAAATATATATATATATATATATATATATATATATATATATATATTTATATACAAACATCTACCCATAAATAAAATCTTATAATTTACCCAAATTATTCTTAAATGCAACTATATATACTTTGCAAAAAAAATTGCAACAGAAATTACAAATAAAAACAGTTGCATCATTGCAAGAAAATTACAATAAAGTCAATAATGTCTCTCTTAATACATCATAAATACTCGAGTGTACATTATAATTGTCTACAATATAATTCAATTCCCTTAGTAGCAATGTATAGTTGATTATCTACTAATTACGTAATTTCCTTAATTACAATGGCATTACCTTAAATGCAATATGTATATTATAGCTATGGGGGGTAATCGCCCCCGGGCTAACAAACAGTTATCCTTAATATGGCATGGTTATCTTAAATGTAACTGAGTCACTGTAAAATATGGCTGCAAAATGTAATTGGAGGTGCTGAGGCTGGTGCTGTAATCTGCGGCTGGTCCTATTACCCATTCACAAAGGCTCTGTAATTGGATGCGAAGCCTCTTTAGGGTTCTGACACCACTTACAAATTGGGGCCACTGATTGTACAAATTGGAAGTGATTTATAGAATGTGCCCGTCAAGGGAAGGGAGGAAGGGGCTGTTGAAGGGCTCTTGATTCCAAAGGCTTGGAGGCACCCTCTTATTCCTCGTATTAAACCTCATTCCCTTCCAGTCCTGAACTACGGGAGGGATCCTTAAACTGTTTAAAGTCTTCCCGTTGAGCACATTAATACAGTATGCTGAATTTTGCTAGCATACTGTATTTTGGAAGATATATTAACGTCTCTACTCACTATTACAAATTCTGCATGGTAAATTCAACTCGAGGTTCACTATTACGAACCAGAGGACTCACTAATACTATCTTGACAGTCTTCTGAGAGATAGCTTGTACAATTAGCACACTATTACAGACACTGGACGTAAGACTTTACAAGCCTAAATAGATAAGACACATGTCAACAGTCTCTGAATAAAGATACCTAACTGTTGCACATGTATCTTACTAATTAACTTGTCGGTATTGTATACCGTTATCATACTGAGGGCTACATAGAGGTGTCCTGGATATCTTACGGTCACACAGATCCCCATAGAGGGTTCATGACTCACTGAAATTAGAGAAAAACTCTTCAGATGTACCTAGAGCAGTTTTCAGCAGGTTCAACCCATAATAATAATAATAATAATAATAATATAATAATAATAATAATAATAATAATAATAATAATAATAATAATAATAATAATAATAATAATAATAATAATAATTAATAGTAAAACATTGAGGAGAACCACTGGCACGATAAAGAACCACATTCCACCGTCTTAGAGTTCTAGACATTATCTTTAAGACTCTCAGGGATTACTAGACGCAGTTTTTTTTTTATTAGAGACAATAGAGCGGTATGCCCCTTCGAAGGAGGGCGGAGGGCTCCTGATTTAAGGATCGAAGCCGCCTGCTTCCCATTCCAAAGGCAATTCAGTAATGACTTAAGTACGCGAACTGTGTTAAAACACAGCATTTAGAGTTGTATGGCATGCGCAGTGCAAGAAATACAGTAAAGAAGAGCTGGGGCTCTATCTGTCACCTATAACTCGAGCTGAATCGCGCTTTTATAGGGCGCTGTGACTGCTCCTTTAATTACTGGAAGGCTCTGTAGGAAAGGACTGTTGCTCTGTACCATAGTGTAGGTTAGGCCCATATATATCTTCTCTGAAAATCACACACACCAATACCATCCTTTGCAACATTACAGGGATAGTGTGTGCCATATACTCACTGTGCATAAGACACACACGGAAATACCGTAAGCTGCATCTGTGACACGCTGTAGACCCTCTTAGACAGCGGAAGACAGAGAGCGAGCAAAAGAGACAGAGACAAGCAAAACTACAGACCTTTCCTCTATCTTGAAGCTGTTCCTTGTGTGACTAGCATTTTAGATAACTCAAATTAACCTGAAAAAACTTTTCGTATTGCACACGAAAGTTGTGCCATACGATAATGAGTCTAAAACTTTCAGACTATTACTACAGAGCTCTTTAACACACCAGCCAATTACAAATCTTAATTGTACTTAAAAATAAGTTTGCAAGCTATAAACATCTTATATATATATATATATATATATATATATATATATATATATATATATATATATATATATATATATATATATATATATATTATTGTTGTGATACCTAACACCATAATGTACAAAGGCACACATACACATAATTATTTATATTATATATACATACTAGAATAATAAACATTACTGGTGTATATGGCACATATTTAGTGACTAGATAACAATCTTATGATAATTTTAGACCGAACTATTCTCCTTTTCTATAAATAAATAGATTAAAAATTGTGGCTTTCCATTTGCAAACAGATAATGTTTGGCACCAAACACACACACACACACACACACACACACACCACACACACACTGTGATTTTTTTAGATGTTCTCAGACAATATCATTCGCATGAACAGAATCTTATTGTTTTCCACTTATACTTGGGAAATATCACTTGTTAAAACACTGGTTGAGACTACACTGCTCCCTACACCACCTGGCTATATGGTTACTTGGGACTATCACTTGCTAGAACACAGGTTGAGAATACAGTGCTTCTCACCACCTCGTTTGAAGGTTGCTTTGACCTGGCTAGTTGGTTGTTTGAGCTGGCTAGAAGGTTGCTTTGACTTGGCTAGATGGTAGTTTTCCTAGATGGTTGCTTCAACCACAGACATAGTGAATCGAAGATATGCAAAGTAACGTCGTAAAGTAAAAATTCTTATATAAAAATGTCAGGTGTACAACTTTGGGTAATTTTATTATGGCACTTTCATCTCCCTGGGATTTAATCGCTTGATAAATCCCCTTAGGGCGAAACAATCCCTTAAAAAACATACCTAATGATGGACGTGACTTGCTTTCATACATAGGAGTATCGTATACTTATACACCTCGTTTACTATAGGATTCGCTCTCTGTATTTCTCTTTGATCTACCAATCATCTTGAACCATCTACTACTGTAATCTGTCTCATTAATTTTGCTTGCTTAATCAAGATGTATTCTTAAAAGATAATTTACCCAAACACCCCTTTTCAAAAATTTAAAAAGGACCCCCACTTTATTTACTATTATTATTATTAAAGATACGCCGGTATTCTCCCGGCCCGGGCCTTTTCCAAGTGGTGGCCCGGCCTTGGCTCCCTCTTGAGGGAGTGTCTGAGACCTAAGTCTCCCATGGGAGGAGATACAAGTACCTCCTCATCTTTGGGACCAACTGTCCCCAGGCCTAGCCACAAGCTAGGCCTCTCTGGTCTGTCATCCCCGCCCCAAGGGGGCAAATGGGAATGACAGTCTTGTGAGCTAAAGGCTCGGGCTCAGGCACCTACCCTACCCTAGAAGGGTTAGGCATGGTGTCGATCTCATGTTTAGTGTCCTTGAGTTGGGGACAAATTATAGATTCACAAGATGGGCCATCGTATGTAAATATTTAAAAAAGATTTAAGGTAAGGACGTGTTTGCTGGCTTCTAATGGCAAGGTTTTTTAAATAGCATATTTCCTTTGCTGTTTTAGATCTGACGCGCTAGTGATATATGTGTTCTTGATATGTATTATGTGTTTTTGATATGTAATTAGACACATGAGTTTAACGGAGATCTCATTCGTGAAAAAAATATATTGCAGATTTATATTGTCTGCAACTTTTATCTGTTCCCGATGATCTATGATTTTGTAATCGATTATTATAGATTTTGCCCGGAGGGGCGAGTTAGTTAGGCAGCACCACTCATTCTGTGAGTGAACACAGCACCATGGGTAACACCACTCATTCTGTGAGTAAACACAGCACCATGGGTAGCACCACTCATTCTGTGAGTAAACACAGCACCATGGGTAGCACCACTCATTCTGTGAGTAAACACAGCACCATGAGGACTACACATCTGTCCAAACAATTGACACACAATACATAGCTTATTTCAATATACAATATACAGTATATATAGCTAATTTTACTTGATTTAAAAGCAGCTGGCGATTAAATGTTGAGCTTATGAATTCAAACATACTTCTGCCTGGATGTAAATGTTTAGAGAAATTAAACTTGATGGCTCTGCGCGAACCGTCATGTCGCTAACTGAGCGTGCTGTTGTTGGGGCCAGACGCGAGATGAATCGTACCCCAGCAGGAGGCTGACGCTGTCAGCGTCGGGGCCAGAAGACAGGTACGAGAAGGTTTCCAGGCTGTCTTGGTAGTTGCAAGAATCCGAGGCTCCATACAGGAGAGACACCAACTCGGAGTCTGTGGTTGGGTGCTCTGAGTCCAGCTCCTGCTGCTGCTGCTGCTGAGCCTTGCTAGGAAATGTGCTGGGGTTGTAGTGGTGGACAGACTGGGGTTGCTCAGGGCTGGGAGCGTCACTGAAGATACTGGAGAGGACCCAGGAGTAGGTGTCTTGCTGAGCGTTGCCGTCCAGAATGTCTTGGAGGGACCTGATGTAGGCTGAAGCCAGCTTTAGCGTAGTGATCTTGGTCAGGTCGGAGGAGGCTCTTCGACTACATACCCATGACGGCAACACACCACGCAGGCTATCAAAGGCGGTGTTGATCTGTCTCATGCGGTACCTCTCGCGGGCGTTGGCAGTCTTCCTGCGGTACCTGGAGAGAGGCGGCGGCCGCGGCTTATGCCGCAGCGTGTCCTGGAAGCTCCACTCACTGTCGTAACAATGCCGTACTTTGATGGAGCGCGGCCGCAGCTGGTACTTGAGACCTGCTAACTCCGGCCTTATTGTTGCTATTGACGTTTTGACAGCTGGTAAAGTCGCTGCTGTCCTTGTCGGGATTTCCAGTATGGTGCAAGTCGTTGTCGTTTCTGTGTTTGCTACAGACAATGCCGTTGTTGTTGTTGCGATCGATGAACTGGCTTCCGAGCGGTGGGTCAGTGTCCCTCAGAGCCACCGAGTGGTCAAGTCTGAATCTCTTGGCACCAGGAATCATGACTGCTGTGTTCTTTACACTCAGCACTAGTCTCCACCTCGCTCCTTACGATGTTTCTCACTGACTGTCGACCCTAAATTCACTCCAGGTTCTCCACATCGTCATTAGCATCATGTGGAACGAGTCGAGACTCATTTTGTAGCTTGAAAAAAATATTTCAAGCAGTTTATAACAATGCGAAGACTTTTCTAAACAAATTGTTCATAACGGAAATATAGTTCCAGTGTTCATTGTCAAAATGTGAGGAAATCATGAGATGTGTGTGAGGATGCTTGAGAGAGGAGACAATCCAAGCTGTGCTCATGTAGTCCTGAACTGGCTCAGGTGTAGCTGTTCTAAGTCAGGTCAGGCGAAGGAAAGAGAAGCCACGTCCTCCCTCCACCACGGCCACCATCACACTGCCTGTCACACACACACACAAAACACACACACACATACCTGCCTGCATGCCACCCCTGATGCTTGTCTTCCTCTCTCTCTCTCTCTCTCTCTCTCTATCTCTCCCCCCTCCTTCCCCCACCCACCATCCTCCCTCCTCCCACCCTTTCTCTCGCATATGGCGACCTTTTTCACATTTCCAGACTTTTCTTCTCATTTTCGCCCAAAATTTATTTCCCTTGTATTTTAGTGAAAGGTGCTCAGCCTATCTGACTATCTCTTGCCCTATTTACTTGACTCTGTCTGTCTGTCTGTCTGTCTGTCTCTCTCTCTCTCTCTCTCTCTCTCTCTCTCTCTCTCTGTATCTCTCTCTCTTTATATCTGGTCCTGAGAGACCGAGCTGCTCTCTATAGCTTTTCATTAGCTGTCAGTGTTTAGCTGCCATACATGGCAGTGTAAGTACAGTGCGCCATAATGGTCACTGTTGATGCTATTGGTGTATAAATCTTGATGCAACTTATGTGATGATATTATTGGTGTGTTGATACTGTTGACGTTCGTGTGGGGTTGATGATATTGTGTATTGATGATGTTTTTGTGTTATTGATGTGTTGACGAAGGTATGCTGGTGTTCTGTTGCTATGTTGATAACGTTAATGCGTGTGTGTGGTGTTTGGACATTGAGGTTATGGTGTGTTGATGTTGGAGTGTGTGTTGGTGTTGATGTGTGTTAATGTTGGTGTTTTGATGTTGATGAGTGTTAATAATGTTGGTGAGTTGATGTTGGAGTGTGTGTTGATGCTGGTGTTTCCCTGTTGATGTGTTGTTGATGCTGGTGTTTAACATAAATGAATTAAAAGAACCAAAAAAAAGGGCACAACATCGTGACTGGAACAATTCACAAATGACCGAAACGTCGTGGTAAGTTTCACTCTCCTGTGAGCGGGTTAACTGTGTATTGTTCCACTCACGGTATTGTGCCTTTTTCTTCTTCAAGACACTTATGGCGACGTTTCTGCCCGACTTGGGCCATTATCTGGTTAATAGTGCAGCTGTGTATTGTACCTGGACAAAACCGTAGCAATATACGTAGCAACACCTTCCATCAAACCGTTCCTCAGATCTAATGATTATCTTACAGCTTGAAGATATGTATATATGTGAATTATATATATATATATATATATATATATATTATATATATATATATATATTATGTGTGTGTGTGTGTGTGTGTGTGTGTGTGTGTGTGTGTGTGTGTGTGTGTGTGTGTGTGTGTGTGTGTGTGTGTGTGTGTGTGTTTGTGTTGGGGTGGGGGGTGTGTGTTTTTTAAAAAGTATTTTATACATGTGAAAAAACCCCCATTTCGGGAAAGAATAGAAAAATTCCCAAAAGCGTTTTTTCGTGACAAACTCAATTATCAAGGAAAAATGTGGAAATCCCCGAAAGCGTTGGAATTTCCTATTCTTTCAGATTTGGTTTGTTTTGCATTTTTCTGAAATCACCTTTTTTTACTGTGTCTTTTTGCATAAATACATGAATAAAATAAAAAATTCAAATTATGTCTTAGAAAACATCCATGAGTAACGTAGGGATACTGTCATTATTTTATTATTAAAATTTCACGGTGGAGCCCCTAAACCCTCCAACCTGTGAATTTTGCCAAAAATGAGCTGTCACAGTGCACGAAAGTGCCGCAGAGCAGCAATGTAACGAAACAGAAATTGTAACAAAAAAAAGAAAGCAATGAAACAGCAGAAAAAGAACAGCGGGAGCAGCAATGTGCAGCGCGCAGCAATGTAACAGCAACAGCGGGAAATTGTAGCAGCAGCACCCCAAAGGAACAGCAACAGCGCAAATGAAGCGGGCAGGCGCAATGTAAACAACACAGAAATGTAGCAGCAGCAGCAATGAAACCCAGAAACAGCAGCAAGGTACAGAAAGCAGCAATGTAACAGCAACACCCGCAATGTAGAAAGCAGCAGCAATGAAACAGCAACGGGCAGAAATTTGGTACAGCAGCACCCAATGTAACAGCAACAGCACAATGTACAGCAGAGAAATTTGTAACAGAAAAAGCAGCAACGAAACCACAGGAGCAGCAATGTAGCCAGCAGCAATGTAACAGCAACAGCGCAATGTAGCACCCGCGCAATGAAACAGCAACAGCGAAATTTGTAACGGGAAAACACAAAATGTAGCAGCGGGCAGAAATGTAACGCAACACAGAAATGTACCAGCAGCAGAAAAGTAACAGCAACGCAGAAATTTTAGACCAGCGCACAGTAACGGGCAACAGCAGCAATGTAACGCAACAGCAGCAATGTACAGCAGCGGAAAATGTAAAAGCAACAGCAGCAATGTAGCGCAGCAGCAATGTAACAGAAACGCCAATGTAGCAGCAGAAAGCAATGAAACCAGCAACAGGCACAATGTAGCAGCAGCAGCAATGTAACAGAACAGCAGCATGTAACGGGAAACAGCACAATTTTCGGGCGCAAAAAATGTAACAGCAACAGAAAGCAATGAAAGCAGCAGCAAAATGAAAAACAGAAACAGCAGAAATTTGTAACGAAAAACGGGAAAGCAATGTAAAAAAGCACCCGAAATGTAACAGCAACAGCAAAATTGTACCCAGGCAGCAAGTAACAGAAAAACAGCAGCAAGAAAACAGCAGCCCCAATGTAACAGCAACAGCAGAAATTTGTAGCAACAGAAAGAAATGAACCCGCAACACAGAAAAGTAGCGCAGCAGCTTTGTAACGAAAAACCCAGCAATGAAACAGCAGCAGCAGAAAGGCGGGTTGTAGGCAGCAGCAGGCGCAGCATCATTTATTAGAAGCAGCGGCCAGCAGCTTCAATACAGCAGCGGGAAAGCAGCAGCGCATAAAATCCACAGCAGCATAAATTTACAGCAGCCAGCAGCATCAAACAGCCCGCACCCAGCAGCAGCAGCATCAATACACAGCAGCGCACCCAGCAGCAGCACAATACAGCAGCAGCACCCAATCAAAGAGAAACCACAGCAGCGGGCAGCAGCATCAATCAGCAGCAGCAGCAGCATAAACAGCAGCAGCGGGCCCCGCAGCACCCAATCAGCAGCAGCAGCACAGCACTTCAATCCCGCGGGCACCCCAAGCAGCAGCAAAATAAAGCACCCAGCAGCAGCAGCAGCAGCAATCAATACAGCAGCAGCAGCACCCAGCAGCATAAATACAGTAGCAGAAAGAAAGCAGCAGCATAAATACAGCAAGCAGAAAGAAAGCGCAGGGGGGAGCAGCATCAAAACAGCTCAGAGCGCCACCCTAAATACAGCGCAGAAAGCAGCAGCAGCATCCAAAAACAGCAGAAAAGCACCCAGAAAATCAATGCGGGAAAGCAGCGCATAAATACAGCAGCAGCAAAAAAAGCGGGCATAAATAAAAGCACCCCAGCAGCACATTTTTAAATACAGCAGCAGCAGCAGAAACCCATAAATTAAAAGAAAGCAGCAGCAGCGCAGCAGAAATAAATTTAAACCCAGCAGCATCAATACAGCGGGCAAAACCCGCACAATACAGCCGCAGCAGCAGCAGCAGCACACCCAATACAGCAGCAGAGCGGGCAGCAAAAGCGCATCAATACAGCAGCAGCAGCAGAAAGCAAAAAATTTACAGCAGCAGCCGCATAAAACCCAGCGAACAGCACCCAGCAGAAAGCAGCGGGCATCAATACAGAAGCAGCAGAAACAATACTGGCAGAAAGGCAGCAGCAGCAGAAGCAGCCCCCGCATCAAAAACAGCAGCCAGCAGCAAGCAGCATAAATACAGCAGCAGCAGCACCCAGCGGGCAGCACATCAATACAGCGCAGCAGCACCCAGCGGGCAAAATTCAAAACGCACCCGCAGCAGCATAAAGGGAGCAGCAGCAGCAGAAGCAAAAAAAATTTACAGCGCGCAGAAAGCATCAAGTGCAGCAGAAACAGCAGCATCAAAAAACAGCAGCAGCAGCAGCACCCGCAGCACAGAAACGGGCACAAAAGAAATCAATACAGCAAGCAGCAGCGGGCAGCAGAAAGAAATCAATACGCAGCAGCACCATCAAACGCGGCACCTCAGCAGCACACCAGCAGCAGCATCAATACGCAGCAGCAGACATCAATACAGCACAGCACAGAAAGCAGCAGCAGCAGCTTTTCAATACAGCAAAGCAAAATTTTTAAAAGCATAAAGTAACAAAAAAAAGTACTAAATATGCAAAAAAAAAAAAACAAAACAATGCTGATAGAGACAAAAGGGCCACCCGGTTCGTTAAACGGCATTCCCAAATCGTTAACCACGCCTCAGGGTAATTAAAGGAAGGCGGGCCCACCACTTAAAAAAGTTTAAGAACGGAAGTAATTAAACCCTAATTTGGACACCGGGGAAGGACTGCTTTTTTCCTCGTAAAAATGATTTAGAAAAAAAATCCTGTTTTGGAAAAAAAGCAGTGGAAGTCGAGGGATATTGTGGGAAAAAATTTAATTTCTTTAAAGTTCTGAGGGGTTTTTTACACTATTCTAGGGAAATGTTTTCTGTTTTGGTTTTTTGTTGTTGGGGTGTTGGTGTTGTTGGGGTTGGGTTTGGGGTGTTGGTTTTTGTTGTGTTTGTTTTGTTTTTGTTGGGTGTTGGTTTTTGGTTTGGTTTTTTTATGGTTTTCGTGTGTTTGGTGTTTGGGGTTGTTGGGGGGTGTTGGTGTGTTGGTGGTTGGTGTTGTTGGTGTGTTGGTGTGTTGTTGTTTGTTGTTGTGTTTGGGGGTGTTGGTGTTGTTGGGTGTTGGTGTTGTCGGTGTTTTTGGGGGGTGTGGGTTGGTGGTTTGGGTTGGGGTTTGGTGTTGTTGGTGTTGTTGGGGGGTTGGTGGAAATTGTTGTTGTTGTTTTTTGGGTTTTTGGGTGTTTGTTGTTTTGGGGGTTTTGGGTTTTTGGTGTGTTGGTTTTGTTGGTGTTGTTTGGGGGTTGGGTTTGGGGTTTTTTGTGTTGTTGGTGTTTTTGGTTTTTTTGGTGTTTTGTTGTGTTTTTGGGTTGTTGTTGGGTTTTTTGTTGGTGTTGTTGGTGTGTTTTTGGGGTTGTT